GTCTACCAAAAAAGAGGGCAAGGTGAGTCTAGGTAGAAACCCTCAAGTGAAAATATTCTGAAGACTGATGGGCATTCGGTACCTCTTCTAAGATCTTAGCACGCAGATACACACGTCAGCTATATCCATGGTATTTATGAGTGGTACTACATGTTGAATTAAATGGACACAGGCCATAGTCCTAGAACAGGAGAAACTTTGCTATTCCAGATACCAACCTTAAGGTACTGGATCACTGGGAAATCCTACTTATCTTGGAGGGCCTGCGGCAGTGGCTGGATCTCAACCGTTTAAAAAAAAAAGTATTTCAATGTTTTAGTATGTATATGCTATGTGGATACACAGCAAATGAATAGCAAACATGTCTGAGATTCCAAAACTCATGGTCACTGTTGAACATTGTGTAATCCCACCTTCACCCCATTTCTATTTTTTAAGTTTTTGCCATAAGTTGTATATGTTCACTGGAGAAAGACAGAGAGACAGAGATAGTGAGAAAGAAAGTGAGAAATGACCCTCTAGAAGGGATGGCTGTGCCACAATTTCTTCTCTTCCATTCACCTCCTTGGATTCTGGGAATGCATGCACACATACCTGGCATGATTTTCAAGTTGCCAGGTCCAGGACTTGAACTGTGGCTGACCAGGTGAGATCCAGCACCTTAACCACCATGCCACCTGCTAGCACCCTGCCTTTACCTTTTAAGAACCTACTCTCAAGGCCAGCAGATGGCGTAGTGTTTACATCACTGGATTCCCACATGATTTATTGCAGTTCGATTCCTGGACCCAGTGGCTTGAAAATCCCACTGGGATGTGCATGTGTACCCAAGATCCTGGGAAGAGAAGGGATTGTGTTGTGGCCATCCCTCCTTAGGGGTGATTTCTCACTTGCCCTCTCACTGTCTCTCTCTGGCGAGTGCATGTGCCCTAAGGTAAAAAACCTCTAATATATATATTTTTAAAGAACCTACTCTCTTTGTCCTTAAATAGGATTTATCAGCACCTACTGGTTCTACAGGATTCAGTGGTATAGAAGAATCCTTATCTATGAAATATCTCTCTTTTGCTCAACAACTAGTACAGATCTCACCCAAGGGAAGTTTGCAAGTCAGCTTCATTATGTTTCACTTGCTGCCATGTATGTGGTTTATAACCACAGCTTACCTCCAGGCAGGCTGGCGAACAGGCTGGTACATATGAGTGATTGCCCACCCGCCTGCTTACCTGCAGCCTTTGAAAAGCAGCCCCATTCTAGACCATTAGCCTGCTGAGAAAATCCATTTGTGGTGCCTTGAAAGTCCAAATACATACCAGATTATTATGGCTCTTCCTTGTCCTTTTATCCAGAGATTCTCACTTGCTGCTTCTTATTAGACACCTGGAGTTCGTGGGTTGTCTAAAAGCAGCTTCTCAGAATGCTCTCCTGGGAAGCATTATAACCCTGAATTCTATCATTTCCTCTTTTACTGTTTCAAGGAAACCTTCAGGGTAATTTGCTGCCTTCTCTGTCTTTATTCAAGACAGCAGGCATGTTGCTCATAACCTGACTGACTCTTTACATACCAACCACAACTTTTATTTTAATTTAGAGATTGAAGGGAAAGTGCATTCAGTTATCCAGTGGGTCATTCTGGAACTCTGTGATTAGGGAAATCTGAGGTTGTAAAGAAATGAGTTGGAAGACTTGAGTCTTCCATGTCTCAATCTACAAATTCTTAACCTATGACTTTGAACAAGATATTTACATTTCTCTGAGCCTCATTTACCTCAAATGTTAAGTGGAATCATACTATACCCTTGACAGAGTTTTTAGGGGTGAATGGAATCATGTATTGGAAAGTACTCTGTAACCAGAAGAAATATAAGCAAATCTACCCAGAGAGAACAGGTTGTAAGAACTAGTGAAAGAAAAGAACCAAGAATGTAGGAATGAATTATGTCAGCTGGATGAGTATAAAGGGAGCCCACTGCTGTGGTCTTACTTGGAAAGGAGAGCTCACCCAGCCCCAAAGCCTTTTCGCATATCCCTACAAAGCTTTAGCTGGGGTGCATTGAGTGTTCAAGAGAAAAACTCACGAAGAGCATTGCTGTCAATCTGAGGGTAAAGGATTTTTTTTGTGGGACCAGCTGGTGGTGTGGTGGTTAAGGAGTTGGACTCCCACATGGCCAACCATGGTTTGAGTTCAGGACCTGGTGGCTTGCTTTCTCGTTTTCTTTCTCTCTGTCTCTCTTTGGTGAGCATGTATGCCCTATAGCAAATTGCAATAATCATAATCATAATAAATAAAATAAAAAATAATTATTTAAATTTTTTTTAAAAAAATGATGTTGTTTGTGTGAGAAAATGAATATGGAATAATAAAGGAGAATATGTGTTTGGGGGAAATTGAGCCAGGGTAATACCAGGATGGGGAAAGAGAAAACAAGATGCAAAGGCCTGACTGCTCTTCTCTGTGTGTTCATTGAGCAGAACTTATTTAAATAAGACTGGGCTTGGGACCAACAGGGGGTGTAATAGTTAAAGCATTGGATTCCCACATGGCCAACTGTGATTCAAGACCTGGACCCAATAATTGAAACTCACATCAGGCATATGTGCATGCGTGCCCAAAATCCCAAGAGGAGAATGGAGGCGAACAGGCTGGTACATATGAGTGATTGCCCACCCGCCTGCTTACCTGCAGCCTTTGAAAAGCAGCCCCATTCTAGACCATTAGCCTGCTGAGAAAATCCATTTGTGGTGCCTTGAAAGTCCAAATACATACCAGATTATTATGGCTCTTCCTTGTCCTTTTATCCAGAGATTCTCACTTGCTGCTTCTTATTAGACACCTGGAGTTCGTGGGTTGTCTAAAAGCAGCTTCTCAGAATGCTCTCCTGGGAAGCATTATAACCCTGAATTCTATCATTTCCTCTTTTACTGTTTCAAGGAAACCTTCAGGGTAATTTGCTGCCTTCTCTGTCTTTATTCAAGACAGCAGGCATGTTGCTCATAACCTGACTGACTCTTTACATACCAACCACAACTTTTATTTTAATTTAGAGATTGAAGGGAAAGTGCATTCAGTTATCCAGTGGGTCATTCTGGAACTCTGTGATTAGGGAAATCTGAGGTTGTAAAGAAATGAGTTGGAAGACTTGAGTCTTCCATGTCTCAATCTACAAATTCTTAACCTATGACTTTGAACAAGATATTTACATTTCTCTGAGCCTCATTTACCTCAAATGTTAAGTGGAATCATACTATACCCTTGACAGAGTTTTTAGGGGTGAATGGAATCATGTATTGGAAAGTACTCTGTAACCAGAAGAAATATAAGCAAATCTACCCAGAGAGAACAGGTTGTAAGAACTAGTGAAAGAAAAGAACCAAGAATGTAGGAATGAATTATGTCAGCTGGATGAGTATAAAGGGAGCCCACTGCTGTGGTCTTACTTGGAAAGGAGAGCTCACCCAGCCCCAAAGCCTTTTCGCATATCCCTACAAAGCTTTAGCTGGGGTGCATTGAGTGTTCAAGAGAAAAACTCACGAAGAGCATTGCTGTCAATCTGAGGGTAAAGGATTTTTTTTGTGGGACCAGCTGGTGGTGTGGTGGTTAAGGAGTTGGACTCCCACATGGCCAACCATGGTTTGAGTTCAGGACCTGGTGGCTTGCTTTCTCGTTTTCTTTCTCTCTGTCTCTCTTTGGTGAGCATGTATGCCCTATAGCAAATTGCAATAATCATAATCATAATAAATAAAATAAAAAATAATTATTTAAATTTTTTTTAAAAAAATGATGTTGTTTGTGTGAGAAAATGAATATGGAATAATAAAGGAGAATATGTGTTTGGGGGAAATTGAGCCAGGGTAATACCAGGATGGGGAAAGAGAAAACAAGATGCAAAGGCCTGACTGCTCTTCTCTGTGTGTTCATTGAGCAGAACTTATTTAAATAAGACTGGGCTTGGGACCAACAGGGGGTGTAATAGTTAAAGCATTGGATTCCCACATGGCCAACTGTGATTCAAGACCTGGACCCAATAATTGAAACTCACATCAGGCATATGTGCATGCGTGCCCAAAATCCCAAGAGGAGAATGGAGGAGAAGGGATTGCAGTGTGACCATCTTCCCCTGGGAGAGGGAGTGACTTCTCACTTTCTGTTTCTCTGTCTCTCTCTGTCTCTCCAGAAAGCACACATGCTCTATAGCAAAAGTCTCTTAATTTTTTTAAAAATAGTAATGATAAACAAATAAATAATTCTGGGCTCGAAGTCACCTTCCATAGTGAGGGAGACTGAGCAGACATCTCATTGGCATGCCTCTTTGCAAACCAATGAGTGCTTCTTCCTCCAGGGACAAAGCTACGGCCTTGGAGAGTCATTTTGCATTATCAGATTAATTAAGTCATTTTCTGTGGTTAAACTTGTGTATGAGTATTAAATCTCAGGCTGGGTCTCCCATCTAGTCACTAGTGAATGTTTTCAGAATAACACTTTGTTCCTGAAACATTTAGAAATATGCATATCATATCTTAATGAGACTGTGATACTTATTTGTGGCAGGAAGATGTCTTCCAGCTAGGCAGACTCATTCAAGTGATAGTTCAATGTCTGGCACCAAGATCTGTGCTAGATGCCCCCTCTAGAGTTGTTTATTATCACTGCAATTTTTTTTTTTTAATTTTTATGCTTGGCTCTTATTCTGAATTTGTCAAAGCTGCTCATGCTTCTTTAAGGCCATGAGATTTGTTCTTGGGTTCCGATTCTGGCTTTCTTATTTGCTGATGGTGGACTCAGGTAAATGAACTTCTATGGGACTCGTTTCTCTATATGTAAAATGGAAGTATAGAGTGCAACTTAGCGATGCTTTGAGGATGAAAGTTTTCCAAAAAGTGTGGAGTTTTATGTAAAGTGCCTTGCACACAGTACCTGCTACATGTCAGTTCTCAATGTATGCTAGGTGACCTCCTCCATGGCCCTCATGTGACCCAGAGTTTCCTGCTTTCTCTTTAAGCTTTGATGTGGAAAATGGCCCTTCCCCAGGTCGGAGCCCTCTGGATCCCCAGGCCAGCTCTTCCTCAGGGCTGGTGCTTCATGCCACCTTTCCCGGACACAGCCAGCGCAGAGAGTCCTTTCTCTACAGATCAGACAGCGACTATGATTTGTCACCAAAGGCGATGTCGAGAAACTCTTCACTTCCAAGCGAGCAGTAAGTACAAGCTCTGTCTGGCTTGCAGTCTCACACTTACCTCACTCTTAACCCCGCCACCAGAGCAGCAATAACTGTTCCCCTTTCAACCATGGGAAGGAGAGAGGAGAAAAATGAACATGAGCAGAAGTGACAATGAAAAGCATCTGAAGGCCATCCATGCTCCATATCCCTATAGGATGGGGAACATGGAGCTGGGCTCTCCAAGGGTGTTCACCTCGGGCACAGTGCTCAGTTTAGATCTATTATTTTTGCTTCCCAAAATATGCCATGTAGCTACATCTCCTGCACTGCTGAATTGTTTTTGGAATGAGAACCTTCACACTTTATGTTTTCTCGCAAATCACACTTGAATTTTCAGTTGCATGTGCAGTTTGCGTGAGGCTCCAGCAGAGAAGAAAAACATGGTTGGTTGCATGCATCCTATTTCAGTGGCCTTTGCTTGATGACATTTAATAAGCTGTCATCTAGTCACATGCCTGTATCCCTTCCCTGGAACTTAAATACAATGTCCATTTGTTGCCCAGTTCCTTGGTGAGACACAACATACTTCACCACAGCTGATGTTTTTGTTTTGCCACTATTAATTGTAGATCTCTAATTTTTATTTAAAGAACAATGACTGAGTTGTGTTGCCTGTTTATTCAATTTCTGAAACCAAATAAAAATGGATGCGGAAATTCATGCCTTAAAAAGTTTCTGGGCACACATACAATTGTTTTTCCATCATATGTTGTAAAAATATCAGTAGCTCTCTGAAGTCTCTAGGCTGGAAAATTCCACTGGGTTCTCTTCTGTTCTAGTAAACGAAGCTAAAAACTCTTGTGAAAGGGGCAGGGACATTTTAGAGCTAATAGTAAGAAAATATTCACCAGAGTATCTCTGCCAGAAAGTGATAATAGAAGTACCCCTGCCCTAAAGTATTTTGATTATTGTAGAGGCCAAAATGTAATTTTTTCACTCATTTGGCAAATATTTAACTAAATTTCTCCTATGTATCATGCAGTGTGCCAGATTCTGGGGATAAAAGATGAACAGTAGAAAAATCACAGATAAATTTAAATATCATTTTGAAAAGTTTGCATGCTCTCAAAAAGGTTACAGTTAAATATGAACAAAAGAAGAACATTTCACACATCCACACGTAACTGTACAGCATCGAAGAAAAACAGCATTTAATGAGCACTCTTCATGGGCCTGGCTCATGGACATGTTTTCTCTGTTAATTATCACATCAGTCCTCTCTTGCAATAATCATAATCATAATAAATAAAATAAAAAATAATTATTTAAATTTTTTTTAAAAAAATGATGTTGTTTGTGTGAGAAAATGAATATGGAATAATAAAGGAGAATATGTGTTTGGGGGAAATTGAGCCAGGGTAATACCAGGATGGGGAAAGAGAAAACAAGATGCAAAGGCCTGACTGCTCTTCTCTGTGTGTTCATTGAGCAGAACTTATTTAAATAAGACTGGGCTTGGGACCAACAGGGGGTGTAATAGTTAAAGCATTGGATTCCCACATGGCCAACTGTGATTCAAGACCTGGACCCAATAATTGAAACTCACATCAGGCATATGTGCATGCGTGCCCAAAATCCCAAGAGGAGAATGGAGGAGAAGGGATTGCAGTGTGACCATCTTCCCCTGGGAGAGGGAGTGACTTCTCACTTTCTGTTTCTCTGTCTCTCTCTGTCTCTCCAGAAAGCACACATGCTCTATAGCAAAAGTCTCTTAATTTTTTTAAAAATAGTAATGATAAACAAATAAATAATTCTGGGCTCGAAGTCACCTTCCATAGTGAGGGAGACTGAGCAGACATCTCATTGGCATGCCTCTTTGCAAACCAATGAGTGCTTCTTCCTCCAGGGACAAAGCTACGGCCTTGGAGAGTCATTTTGCATTATCAGATTAATTAAGTCATTTTCTGTGGTTAAACTTGTGTATGAGTATTAAATCTCAGGCTGGGTCTCCCATCTAGTCACTAGTGAATGTTTTCAGAATAACACTTTGTTCCTGAAACATTTAGAAATATGCATATCATATCTTAATGAGACTGTGATACTTATTTGTGGCAGGAAGATGTCTTCCAGCTAGGCAGACTCATTCAAGTGATAGTTCAATGTCTGGCACCAAGATCTGTGCTAGATGCCCCCTCTAGAGTTGTTTATTATCACTGCAATTTTTTTTTTTTAATTTTTATGCTTGGCTCTTATTCTGAATTTGTCAAAGCTGCTCATGCTTCTTTAAGGCCATGAGATTTGTTCTTGGGTTCCGATTCTGGCTTTCTTATTTGCTGATGGTGGACTCAGGTAAATGAACTTCTATGGGACTCGTTTCTCTATATGTAAAATGGAAGTATAGAGTGCAACTTAGCGATGCTTTGAGGATGAAAGTTTTCCAAAAAGTGTGGAGTTTTATGTAAAGTGCCTTGCACACAGTACCTGCTACATGTCAGTTCTCAATGTATGCTAGGTGACCTCCTCCATGGCCCTCATGTGACCCAGAGTTTCCTGCTTTCTCTTTAAGCTTTGATGTGGAAAATGGCCCTTCCCCAGGTCGGAGCCCTCTGGATCCCCAGGCCAGCTCTTCCTCAGGGCTGGTGCTTCATGCCACCTTTCCCGGACACAGCCAGCGCAGAGAGTCCTTTCTCTACAGATCAGACAGCGACTATGATTTGTCACCAAAGGCGATGTCGAGAAACTCTTCACTTCCAAGCGAGCAGTAAGTACAAGCTCTGTCTGGCTTGCAGTCTCACACTTACCTCACTCTTAACCCCGCCACCAGAGCAGCAATAACTGTTCCCCTTTCAACCATGGGAAGGAGAGAGGAGAAAAATGAACATGAGCAGAAGTGACAATGAAAAGCATCTGAAGGCCATCCATGCTCCATATCCCTATAGGATGGGGAACATGGAGCTGGGCTCTCCAAGGGTGTTCACCTCGGGCACAGTGCTCAGTTTAGATCTATTATTTTTGCTTCCCAAAATATGCCATGTAGCTACATCTCCTGCACTGCTGAATTGTTTTTGGAATGAGAACCTTCACACTTTATGTTTTCTCGCAAATCACACTTGAATTTTCAGTTGCATGTGCAGTTTGCGTGAGGCTCCAGCAGAGAAGAAAAACATGGTTGGTTGCATGCATCCTATTTCAGTGGCCTTTGCTTGATGACATTTAATAAGCTGTCATCTAGTCACATGCCTGTATCCCTTCCCTGGAACTTAAATACAATGTCCATTTGTTGCCCAGTTCCTTGGTGAGACACAACATACTTCACCACAGCTGATGTTTTTGTTTTGCCACTATTAATTGTAGATCTCTAATTTTTATTTAAAGAACAATGACTGAGTTGTGTTGCCTGTTTATTCAATTTCTGAAACCAAATAAAAATGGATGCGGAAATTCATGCCTTAAAAAGTTTCTGGGCACACATACAATTGTTTTTCCATCATATGTTGTAAAAATATCAGTAGCTCTCTGAAGTCTCTAGGCTGGAAAATTCCACTGGGTTCTCTTCTGTTCTAGTAAACGAAGCTAAAAACTCTTGTGAAAGGGGCAGGGACATTTTAGAGCTAATAGTAAGAAAATATTCACCAGAGTATCTCTGCCAGAAAGTGATAATAGAAGTACCCCTGCCCTAAAGTATTTTGATTATTGTAGAGGCCAAAATGTAATTTTTTCACTCATTTGGCAAATATTTAACTAAATTTCTCCTATGTATCATGCAGTGTGCCAGATTCTGGGGATAAAAGATGAACAGTAGAAAAATCACAGATAAATTTAAATATCATTTTGAAAAGTTTGCATGCTCTCAAAAAGGTTACAGTTAAATATGAACAAAAGAAGAACATTTCACACATCCACACGTAACTGTACAGCATCGAAGAAAAACAGCATTTAATGAGCACTCTTCATGGGCCTGGCTCATGGACATGTTTTCTCTGTTAATTATCACATCAGTCCTCTCAGATAGGTACCATTGTTATCCCCACTCGAGAGATGATAAAACATGGACCCTGAGAGATTGAGAAACTTGCCCTATTCCCTGACTGTATCTCATGATGAAGCTAAGGATGACCATACTCAAACCTGTTGGATTCCTTCCGCCATGTTCTTCTAATGCAAAGTAACACCTGTACTACCAGGTAGAAAAGAGATGAATGAAGAGTAGAGGGACCTGAGGGTAGAGAAGAGGTAACTACTTTGCTGTACAGCATGTAAAATTGGTAGTTTCTTTCTTTTTAAAAATAATTTCTTATTTACATTCAATTGTTGTATGTCTTTGTAGGCTATATCATGAATTTTCAAAGCATGCTTATAGTATACAATATTCAAATCAAGGATATTACTATTTTCAACAAAGAATATCACATGATGATCTGTACCTTCAGTTTTTGCTCTACTAGATTTTTGGGGGGAGAAATATATATATATATATATATACACACACACACACACACACACACATATCATATGTATATGATTGGAAACATCCTTTTTTTCCACGGTGCTGTGGTAATACTGCTTCACAACCTATTTGCCCCATCTACATGCATTATTGTGTCTGATGACACTCTTTTCCTGAGACTCTACCACCCACTTCCTACACCCACCACCCCATGCAGTCTCTGATACCTACTGTTATGGGTTGGGATTTTTAACTAAGGTTTGGATTAGGGATTCTGTAGTAAATGTACTAAGAATTCTGTCCTTGACCAAGATAAAGGTGTCTTGTTTTGTTTTGTTTTGTTTCTAGACTTTATCATGGGATACCATAAGAGACATGGTTAGCTCAGAGTATTGGGTTGTTGGAAAAGTCATGATGAATTTTTAATAGAAATACATATTAGGTTGTTAGGAAAGTCATGACATGTTTTTCTATGCAAACTGTGTCATGACTTTCCCAACAACCCAATAATTAAAGATTCAGTTACATGGCATTTTATAGGTAAAATATTAGCTTTGGAAGCTAGTTGTTCCGGAAACTAATTCTCCAA